AAAAAAAAAAAAAAAAAAAAAAAAAAACCTAATTTTTGGTCCTTTCATTGAGGAAAACAAGTTAATCTGACCGCCTGTTTTGTTGGATTCAATGTCATTGTAATGTGACAGCCGACTAATATATCCAACTAAACAAGCCGGTCACATTGACCAGCTTTTCTCGATAGAATGACCGAAATTCGAGGATTTTTTTTTTCAGAGTTGTTTCGCAAAATAAACGCAACCATCGGACTACTTATCAATTTGATGTAAATTTAAGGACTAAATCTCCAAATTTTTTCGATGAAACTGATAGAAATTAAGATACTTTGATGATAAATAAAGTAGGAGTCATTGGAATTTTTTTTTTTCAAATTATTGAACATTTTGATAGAAGAAAGAGTTTTTTCGTCTCAAAATCTCAAGAATATGTCATATCTGATTTAAATTTTCAAATGTCAAATAGAATAGTAAATCTTTAATTGCATATTCTAATTTGCTAATTTCCAATTTTTATGGGTATATCATGCACGTCGACAGGGAAAACCGAACCGGTGGTTCTACCAGGATGCGGTGAGAATGGAAGCCGGGAACTTGTTGATAATCCAAAGAAACTATGGGGCATGGGGTTCCATACGGAGCATTTGGAAAAGCTGGTTTGGGATTTGACGTTGATTAATTCGGAATACGACAATGCATTCTATCGTGGAAATGGAAAGATTGCTATCGATGTCGAGATGCTTCACTTAGCTTATAAAGACGAGGAATTAGCTGCCGCTTTAGCACACGAGGTACATAACAACGGTAGATTTCGTTCCAAAACTAGAATCGACTAGTCGTGCTAAATTACAAGTGCAACTTAAAACACTTGAGGTAACATTTATGGCAATATGAAAATTTTATCATACACTTTGGTGAGTCGACTTTTTATGGGTGATTAATTAGCAAGGTCACTTTGTTTTTCGATGACCCACTGGGCAGCCTAGCATCAACATTTGTATCCATATCGGTTTATGTTTGACTAGAGGTTTCGAATGTAGCATGGCATGTATATTTATTTATGCAATTGTCGGTTTTTAACTTAAAGATTTGATCGTTAGATTGGGCATGGAGTGGCAATGCATATCGAAGGGCACCCAAATTTTGCGTTTTGGCTCTTTCTCCTAATTCCGTGGACTTCATCATCCTTTTGGGCCCCGGTAATATTATTGCGCGTATGTGACTTGATGCTTTACATGCGCCGAAGGTAAGAAGAGTTAACTCGCTCGGTTATATGCGAGTCACTATCATCCAAATTCATAACTTGGTTATTTTTTTTATTTTTTTTTTTTAAATTCAGGAATGAACTCGAAGCATGGTACATTGGGCTTATGTTGATGGCCTCGGCTGGTTACGACCCTAGGCTTGTGCCGGACTTTGTCAAGAAAATGGAAATCGAGAAGGATGACGATAAGTATCTATTGGACACGACTCACCCTTGTGTCGGGCGAGTAGCTGAGATGCTGAGCCAAGAGACGGTGATGGATAAGGCGGTCGAAATATACGAGAAAGTTCGGGCCGGAGGCCAAGTACCGAGCTTTGTTGAGGGAGGGGAAAGAAATTTTTGCAGCAAGCTTTTCAACCCTTTTTCAGTTACTCAGTTTTTTTCCGAATTTAAACGAGCTGAGAAATAGTTGTGTTGAACTAATGGTAGGACATAATTTTTCATCAAAGTAACAAATTAGTATGTATGTAATAATGTTTCCAGCTTTTCTTCATCACATCTGTTGATGATTCTGCTTTTTTTCGATGGAATGTGCAACTTCCTTTGGATCTTTTTTTTTTTTTTTTTTNCGAGTCATATTTCAGGCGTTCGAAAAAATTTCGCTGAATCATCAAAATTCAACAAAAATTCCATTGAAATCTCATCCCGACGAAATCTGAGAAAATAGCATTGGAATATCCATTCGAATTGTCATCACGGTAAAAGCTCGTCAGTTTGCCCGTACAGATGATAAATCGGTTTAATATTTAAGAATGTGGGCCCCACTATCGTGGTGATGTGGTTATTGATGTAAGAATTTTTAACTCCAGGCCTCGATGCCCAGCCTTTACATTGTCTGTAGACGTCTACTGCTTAGAGGTGTAGCCTCTCCTTTGAAGCATCTTGGGCTGTTAATATAGATGAAGAACAAGAACCTTAGGCACGGCGAGTAACTTAGGGGGAGCTTGAACTATGTCTCCAACTCCTCATGGCCGGGAAATTTGATGTCCTCGTCTGATTCGAATAGTTTGTGTTTTTTTCTTTCTTGCTTCCCAATGTCTGCAAATGTTTAAACCAAATCATCTGACCAATGTATGTAAACTAGCACTGATTAAGCGGGGAACGAATGTACGTGATTAAGAATCACGAGGGCGTTTTGCTGAGTTTGCAAGCTCTTCAAAACATTTTGTAAGTACTCTAGGAGCTTAAAGTTTTAAAGAAGTGCAGACTTATTATTCATTTTAAGGTGCTTATAAGCTCTGCCATTAAATACCTCAGTTCCTAGCTTTGAGTAAAAATATCACACCATATCTTCATAGTTCATATCACGCCAGACGCCTCACGGGATTCATATCATACGAAACACCATCGACTAACAAGTATATCGACACAAAATCGCAAAACTTGCTGTTTTTTACGTTCTTTTCTACGAGAACCTACAGCAGCGAGTTCGTCAGCTGCCTCAAACCATAGGTTCTCTGCTTTGGTTTTCTGATTGCAGCGGATTCAAATTTTGATAAGATAATGGTGTTTGAAAATTATTCATTGATCTAAATTTAAAATCCAAAAGACACGCATTTCTCAGCAGAACATCCATCAATCATCAAACAAATACACAATAGGTTGCATTGAACAAAAGATTCGTCTTTTAATTTGCTAATTTTCAAAACACCTAAATTAGGCTTTTTTTTTATATTAATCACGAGGTCGGCCTCTAATATTGAGGTCGCCACTTTTGTTACACTTGTAATGTTTACGTGAATTTATTACAGATCTGAGGTAGTAATTGTAGAGAGAAAAATAGTTGGTGGAATTTCAACAACCCATAATAAGTGAAATGAGTTGCCTATTTTAGTATCCTTAAATAAATCTTACACTATTCACGCGTTGTTGACAGGTCGACGTTGTTCTGACAGATATTAAATGTGATTTGAGGTATCTTCAACGATTACCTGTCAGGCATTAAATGCACACATGTGAGACATTTGTGCTGATAGACCTTTCTGTCGGGCTAGATGCCCTAGGGTAATAGACTAGGGTGGTGTGTCCCATTGGCAATCACTAGCGGGCAAGTGACAATATTATATCATTTCTAAACCCTAGACCCATACTGAAATCGACCTCATGGAATCTTCAGGTCAGACTTTTTCTCGTGCTTCATCTCCTGGCCTCTGAGAGTTCGTTCTTCTATTCGGCATTGTAGGAGGTCGGCCTCGTCGTCTGACTTCCAAGATGCCGACCTCAGGGGTTGATCTATTCATCGTCCTTGTTGACTTTGTTCCTTAATCAAATCGGCATTCCGTAATTACTCGGACTCCGGTCCGGGTTCAAAGGTTGCCTCCTCCCGATTCCTCGTCTTTGAACCGGGAATCCTATATCGACACAACTGGATATCAACAAGTTAGAATGCTCGTGTTAGATTACCTAAGATCATTTTGCTCTTTGTTTATTTTCATTTCTGTTAAGTTATGGAGACACCGTGCAACTAAAGTTCTAATCTTTTCTCTCTAAATCTCATCTTTCCTTAATTGCTTTCAATTTCTTAGTACAAAATTAGCTTAATTTCCCTCAATCAAGCGAGTAGCATGTTTAAGACCTTGTTTTCGGTTATGTGAATTGATGACGAGATAGTGAACGAAGTTCCGCACAACCTTCTTTCGAGAAGACGACCCTAGTGAGATCTTTCGATCGTACTCGGCTAAAAACTACAAACATGTATATACTTTTTTTTTCTTTTTTCAATATTTATTGCGGTATATTATTCATTTTGTGGAATATCATAAAATATTATTTCTTAAAAAGATTTAGTAAGTTATTTATTATTGAAATAATTATTACTAATGATTACCGAAAATTAAAAGTATTAAGGTAAGATAAAAAGTTAAAAGGAACATGTAACATTTTGTATTAAAAAGATTGGATAAACGTGAAATTTAGGCGGGAAAAACATTGAGGTTTTATTAAAATAAATAAAATTATATGTTAAGCCAACAATTATATATATAGATTAAAATAATTTTAAAAATATATATATAAATAAATTTCTAAAAATAAAAATAAAATAAATGCCTTATATTCGATACCAAAGTCAACTTTCTCCTACCTTTCATATGACTGCCATTAATGACACACAAAAACAACTCATTCAAGTATATATTAAGCCAAAAAAAAAAAAAGGAGACTTTCACACACAAAACACGCAAGAATCTCTCAACCGTAGCTTCAACATTTGAATCTCACAATCCCCTTCAATCTAGAAAACACTACCCACAAGACATGGAAGAGGCAGCCAGAGCCACCGGAATCCGCCTGATTGTGGTGGCTCTGCTCATCTATGCCGCCGCCGCGACCGGCGGCGCTTACACCAACCACACCGTTGGCGGGGCCGCCGGTTGGCTTTTCAACTCCGCCACGAACGAGACTTCAGCTGACTATAGAGCTTGGGCTGCTAACCAGACCTTCAATCTTGGGGACTATCTCAGTAAGTTTGTCAAACGCCCTTTATTGAGCTGATTTTGTAAATCTTGTTTGCTTGATCTGAGATTTTGATTTTCTCTTTTGTTATTGCTTTTTGTGGGTTTTTTTTTTTTTTTTTT